GGGGTACATGACATGAATGGATAATGAAGAAGAGAACGCCGGGAGAACAAGGTAAAGAGCTGTGGGAACGAACCGGCCTACCGTTGGGAGGTTGAGCGCCGACTCCTGCATTAGCATCCGTAATTTGGTGTCGGACGGCGTTGTACTTCTGGCGCCAGCCAGACGAACCTGGCGCGGTTTTCCTGAGGACCGGTCCTTTCTGTGTTAACGACCGCCCTTTTCCTTTTGGAAAGCCCGCAGTGCATCAGTCGGGCATTGAATCGTGGAAGGTCACACCTGTGGCCCGCCTCCGCCGGAGCTATTTTCGTTTGGTTTGGTCCCGCTTTGATGTGGGGTGTCTGACAGATAACCTTATCATAGACGGAGACGAAAATAAAGGAAATCCGACTGATGTTCGGGAGTGACACCCAGACTGGCTACTTACACCGCTGTGCGCTGCAGACCGGTCGAACGCAGTCTCGAAGATGACTCGCCGTTGGCTACTACTTCGCAGTAGTCGCTGAGTTATTCCGCCAGTGTGACGTCACTCTGCCATTGATGACGTCGTCTGATTTGCGTTTGCGGTGCTCCGGAATAGGATGTAAAATGCAGGAGACCGAGAGCACGGATGCGGTCACGGATGCGATTCTTCCCATTTCATCGGAGCCACGTCAGACTCGAGTCATCAGAGTCATCGTGACGAGAGTCGATTGATGGCGAGTGGGTTTTACCAGCGGTCGCGGAGGTCGCTGCTGAGAGTCGGCACGTGACTCTGACTCCTGACTCACGAGTCGATCATAGTCATAACACGCCGGCCGGCACCACAGGCGGGGTGCAGAGGCATTCCATCCGATCGGTAAGGTCACCTCTGCAGGGGTGATGGCCGGACGGGCGCGGGCCGCCCTCCGAGACGCTCCCCGCCCCTCACAGCAGCAGCCGACTCCCGAATAATCGGAGGCAGCCGAGGGGTGGACAGCGTGATTGCTTCGCTCGCATTGGGGACGTGATTCAGCGGTTCAGCAACTCTGGCCGTACTCGTATGTTTCGCCGTCTACGTGACTAGCGTTTAGGTGAGAGAGAGCTGCGTTCGACTCCCGGCGGGCGGAGTCCAATTATATCCGCGCACTGTAGATTGGTTACCTGACTCATTGGCGGCGTGTTTCAGCCAAGGGCTGCAATATTTCAGCTCGCCACGTTTTCCAGAGCGGCGCTGACTCACGTTTCGCTCGAATGCGGATGCGGCGCTGAAAATCGGCCGGTGTAAACACTATTTCCTGCTATACGGGTTCCATTGTCCGTCCGAGCGGGCCGAGCGTGCGGCGGTATCACGGCCGATTGGCCCGGCTGTGACCCGACCGAACACATTCCGACGTGGAGTTCGTGCCCCGGCCCTCCACGGAAACTCACGTGAGCGGCTGATACGGGCCATTCATGGCTGCCTGTGTCCGTATGTGGCGGGCCGTGCCGCTGTGCTGTGCCCAGACTCGCCCCACCCGCCGCTTCTGGTGCACGGTGCTCGAGCGGAACGACGGACCCACCGCGGCGCCGTGCCCATTACGGCACCTCGGTGTCGGTCGCCTCACCCTGTCCGACACGACCGTACCCCACCCGTCTGACACCACCCTGGTCAGCGGCGCTGCGACCGTCGGTCGTTACCTAATGATATGTGATCGCTATGGCAGCATCGGCCCCGTGACGCCGGCCCGCGGCAGGGCGTGGTCGCTCGCCCTCTGCCGGTGGACCGGCCGCGCGTGGCCCGATGGACCCCGCCCCCGCTCTGCCGATTTATAGCTGATATCTCTCCGGGCGCACTACCAACCCTATGGCTGCTGGTCAGGGCCTGGTGGGCGCGGTCCAGGCGTCGGGTCGGGTGCAGGCTGCAGACGGTAGGTAGTCGACTACATATTGCCAGTGAGCGGACTATCTCCGACCCAGTGCACGCTCAGTACCGCCGGGGGGCGATCTCAGACGCTCACGGGGCATCTCGCGTATTGCTCAACCCTGACCACGCCCCAACGACCGACGCGGTCCGTATCGGAGAGCGCAGGACGTATCAGTCACCTCTGCCGGCTCCATGAGTGGCTGTCGTTGCACCATACCCCACCGCCCATCAGCCACCCGATGACGGCGCCGATGACTGCGCGGACGGTGATGACGCCGGTGGGAGCGATGACGCGCGGCTGGTACCGCCGATGACGCGCTCCGCTGGGAAATTAGCCGCTAAATTCGCCGTGGCGATACCGGCTGTGATGGATCGACAGTCGTGGCCAGCGAGCCGCTGCGGCCGTGGGAGGTGGTTTTTATTTCATGGCCCGGCTCGTGTCGGGCGCCGGGCGGTCGACTCGGTCTCTGTTGCGTCTGGTGGTGGCTGTGGTTGTATGTGTGTTTGTATATGGGACAATATTGTGGGGGAGTGGGAGAGAGGGAAGGAGGAAGTCCGGGTCGCAGCGTGTCCGGCTGTTTGGAGCGGCGGCCGGAGTGAATGCGCACAATTAATGGCCGGCCGCCGGGGCACAGTAGCTCGGCCATCATCTGCGGTCGTTACATCTGGGCAGTATGGCCGGCTGAATGGACCGGCAGCGTCCGACTGGCCCGTTATTGGCCGTTCTGAGGGTCCGCCGGCTCTGGGAGCGCGCTGGGAGGGCGACCCCGCTCCCCTCCCCGTCTGTGTGACACACTTCCTATCGCGCCGATCCTCCGACTCACCAGACAGACACGCACACCTCTGCTCGGCAGGAGGGACTCGTTCGGTCTGTTTACATTTGGACCCGTCACCGGTCGTCTGAGTCAGACCCAGTCATGTCCCACGGACCTGTGACGCCGGCGTCACACCGCCGACCTCTTCGTTCCCTCACCCGTACCCTTGACCCTATGTGACACATCTGGTGGCCAGACCGCGCCGAGTGCCGCGCTGGCTGGACCGTACCGCCGGGTCATCCATCAGTCCGGTGGCGTGTGTCCGGTCGGCACTCGGCGGGCCAGCTCTCCGGTCAGTCGGACCTCTGGGCGGCTGGAGCGGTCCGTGTCCGTTTTCCTGCTCCGCTCCACCGGATGCTGGGAACGCCGTGGCTCTCCGCCGCTGTCTGGAACTGTCCACCGCCGTCGCCCCCGCTGTCTGCCGCGCTGGCTCGCCGTGTCTGGACTGCCGGCCGTCTAGACTGGCCGTGTCGCCCTCCGTGCAGCCAGCTGGCAGTGCCCGCAGACGGCGGAAGGTGCTGCCATGTTCCTCCATCGGCTATGACGTCATATCGCCGGTGGCCCTGCTCCAAAACCAACCACCGGTGCCGATCGGAGCCGCCTGGCGCGTCTAGCCGGGTGCGTCGGCTGCCCCGCCCCACCCAGAACCGACCGGCACCTAGCGCTGCCGGCGCGCCCGGCGTGAGGCCGTAAATAATATCCCACAGCGAGCTGGTTCGGGCCGCGCCGTGCCCCGCCATACCTCAGCCCGCCCCGCCCGGCGTGCCGTTGTTCTTGCCTCGCGGTCGCCCTCGGCGTGTCTCGTTTGTAGCTCGTTCTGGCTCGCCTCATCCTCACCCTTCTCGGCTCCTGTGGCTCGTCGTGCGTGAACAAAACAGCGGCGCCCTGCACGGCCACTTCGCTAGGCAATTACCTGGACGAAATTACCCGTTCCGGTGCGACTGAGGGGGACCAAAGTGCGACGACTCTTTGCGACGACTCACGAGGACCAATGACCGAGCATAGCAGCGCGTAGCCGCGTAGGGCCCAGAGGCGCCCCGCGAGCCGGCGGAACGGACGCCGACCGCGGTCTCGCCCGGTCGAACGCTCGAGCGTCGCGATGCAGACGCGCCGGCAAAAACGCTGGCGAAAAGTGGCCACGCGCGGTGTCCGGCTCCCGGAGCCGTGACGGGACGCCGGCGGGTGCGGCGGCCGCTGCAGCTGCCGGCGGCTGCGGTCTGCGGCCGCGCAGTTTTGAGTGCGAGATGAATTGTGGGAACACGCCCCGGCGGCGTGGCGTGCGTGACATGTCGTGCGGTGGTCGGACACCGAGACGGGTCCTGCGCCGTGCCGGTCTGCTCGGCTGGCCTGCACCATGCACCTGCCGAGTCCGGCCCAGCTCGGGCTGTGTGGTGTCGCACGGTGCTTCTCTATGCATTCCATGTTCTGTGCTGTGCAGCTCATCAGCGCTGCTTGCAAGACGGCGTTCTTTTATCCATTGTTCTGACTTTTGGGTCGGTATTGAAGCTGCACCATTTGTTTTCTTTGCACATATATTTGGATCATCCCCGTACAGGAGACACCTTTTGGCATACCATTCCTTCGTGCATATGACGCCACCCTCTATGGGACACTGACCGCTCGCCAAATTCGCCCCTGCCCGCCCCTGCCGATGACTCCCGGGTTTCATTCCATTCTGCTTTATCTCGCCTCACTTCGGCGCGCCGCGGTAGCCCGTCCAGCGACTCCACGACCACTCTGAGTCTGACTCGACAATTTACTCCCCCGTGTCACCCCGACTCCGCCCCTCCATCAGCCGTCCGTGCGGCGCCCCTCGGTGGCTGACGGTGCAGAGCGCCCGGTCACCGCTGCGTTCCGCCCGAGGAGGCAGCAGAGGAGGCACCAACAGAGCCTCAGAGGAGGGAGCCTCCGCCACCGGCCCGGCGCCCATTGCGTGCCGCTAATGATCGGCTAACGCGTGACGACCGAGGCCATTTCGCAGGCCCGGTGCCGTCCTCGCTGCAGATTGCAGCCGGCACATCTTGCGACTTCATTTGAAACCTCATCCGACGTGCTTCCACGTACAGAGTTACGTCTGCAATTACGTTTTTGTTGCCGATAAACACAACGCCTACGCCGTGTTGAAAATCAAAATGAAATAAATAGGGCCGGCTCTCTGGTTTGACTTAAAAAAACTTGAATATATGAGCACTTCAATTATATTGGTGGCGGTGGCGGCAGCAGATGGCACACTGGCGGTACACAACCTCACACGGCGGCGGCGGCGACAGAACTCCGAACGAAATACGACAACAAAGCGAAATCGGCGCGGTTAGGAAAAATATTCGTGACGGATGCAGGGGTTACCAAATGGGCTGCCATGGGTAAAATAAAATGACGAGGCGTAAAGGAAAGGTAGGATACAACACAGTAACGATGGAAAACATATACGGTACGGTAACATGAGGAGAAAAAAGGTCACAGGGCAGTAACGAATAGCGACATACTCCCCACTTTCGAAGTGAGCCGTCACTTCGAAAAGTCTCTCCTCACTCGGCACACAAGTCACTTTTTCGGCACTCGCCTCGCCGACGCTCACTTCACTCCGACGCCTCTAGTCTCAACAGTTTGTTGATCGGGCGGCGGGTAAGTCGCCCTCTTAGCACGATACTCGCCGCGCGAGCGCGGCCGTCCGCTCCAGACAGGAGGGACACCACGCGCGCCAGAGGCCAGCGACCACGCGGACCTTCCGCGTGCACCAGCACAATCTCTCCGACCTCGGGCAGCCGAACCGGACGGCCGCGCCGAGAGAAGCTCCACGTGCGTAGAGTCTGCAGGTACTCTTTGGTCCATCGCTGAACCAGGTGCTCGCTGACCAGCCGCTGGTGCCGCCAGCGCCGACTCAGGCTGTCCAGCTCGTGGCCAGACGGAGAGAGCACGCCACGGATGGACGTGACCCCGAACAACAGGTGCGCGGGCGTCAGCACGTCGTCGTCACCTGGGGTGAGAGGTCGGAAGTTCAGTTGTAAGGCCAACTCATACAGGGTGACTGCCAACTCCTCATGGGTAAGATAACACTGGTGCAGGGTAATGCGCAGGGACTTCTTGGTTATCCCGACCAAACGTTCCCAGAAGCCGCCCCACCAGGGCGCCGCCTCGGGTACAAAGCGCCAGGTCACAGCTGCAGGTAGGTGCCCGAGCAGGGCATGAAACGTTCTGGCATTGTCACTCACAACTAGCGATGGGGTGCCACGTAGCGCAAAGAAGCGGCGCAAAGCCAGCTTGACGTCAGCGACATTCTGAGTCTTACACAGTTCGAGATGCACAGCTCGCGACGAGGCACAGGTCAGCAGCAGTACCCATACCTTGTCGCCGCCCTTGACGTACATCGGACCGAAAAAGTCCACACCGACCCGGCTGAACGGACGGCTGGGCTCCGTCCTGAACAGGGGCAGCGCGCCATCAGCTGACCGGTACGGCGCACCCCGGTACCTCCGGCACCTGAAGCATGTACTGACTACACGATGAACAGTTCGTCTCCTCACACAGTATTCACCAGACAGCAGTGCCAGTGTGGTGCGGGTACCCTGGTGAAACGATTTACGGTGGGCATCATCCACTATCAAGGTGGTCAGATGGGCAAACTCAGGCAGAATGATCAGAGCAGGTTCGTGAGTTCGCGTGACAGCTTCTAGGACACCATCTGCGTTTAGACGAGGTCTGACCTTCTCGAGTCGCGAGTTGGGTGGCAGCGGCGCGCCTGCCGTCAGCGCCTCCAGCTCCTGCGCGTAGGCGGCACTCTGCGAGACCCGGATCCAGAACCGCAGCGCCTCCCGGCGCTCGTCGGGCGACAGCGCTCCACTCCTCCTCTCCGTGCGCTGGTGCCTGGCGTTGTGCGCGAACCGAAGAATCCACGCGGTGCGGTTCACTGCCTGCTTGAGATGAGAACACCGAGTCACGTCAAACGGTCCACGCATGACGTCTGGAATCGGATCAGGGCCACACTCTCGTCTCACGGCCACGATCTGACGTCTGACCTCGGGCCTCGTCTCTGCTTCGGCTTCTGCTGAGGGAGGCGTCAGTAGCACTAACGAGGCATCATAGTCAGGCGGACTCAAATCAAATGGTGGACCCTTCCACCACTTGTCACAGGCGATGAGAGAGGTCAGCGTTACCCCTCTCGTGCCTATGTCAGCGGGGTTATCAGAGCCTCTGACGTACCTCCACTGGTCGGCGGTCGTCAACTGAAGCACAGTCTTCACCCGGTTCTCCACGAACATCTTGAGAGGCCGCCTCCGGTTGAGCCAGTGAAGCACGTCGGTCGAGTCGGACCAGTAGGTGACTGTTGCGCTCTCCAGATGCAGCGCGTTCTTGATGAAGTCCATCAACCTGGCTCCAACAACAGCGGCCATCAGCTCCAGCTTGGGGATCGTTAGATGTGGAGACAGGGGGGCCAGCCTACTCTTCGACATCACCAGGGCAGGCTCCCCACCCTGGACCACATACACCACCGCACAGTAGGCGGTCCGAGACGCGTCACAAAACACGTGAAAAGTCGCTCCGGACTGATCGTCACGCGCTCCGGCTAGGCGAGGGAACCAGATCACCCTCCCCGGCGAGTCTCTCCACCAGGCTCGGACCTCGGTCTGCAGCTCCCCACTCAGGGGACTATCCCATGTGCATTGAGCGTCAAGCCAGGTACGCTGAAACAGGGCCTTCCCCCAGATCAGCCACGGCGTCACCACGCCGAGCGGATCAAACGGTCTACTCACAGCAGATAGCAGCTCAGTCCGGGTGCCAGGGCAGGTCACCTGTGGCACGGTCACGGCCAGACGATCCGATCTTGTGCTCCACAGTAGGCCGAGCACCTTCTCGTCCTCAGTGTCGTCACCAGACATCCTGGTCTTGTGAAGATCCATGGAGGCCTCGCTGAAGACGTCACCCATCTTCGTCAGTCCGGCCTCTGCCTCCGCCCTCGTACTGAAGGACGGGCACATGTCGTCCATGTAGACGGGATCCTGAACCTTCTGCAACAGAACAGGTTCATCGCGCAGACACCGGCGGACGTGCTCAGCGATAGTGCACAGCAGCATGTAGGGCGAACAGGTGAGTCCAAACGGGACCCTGCGAAACCTCAGCCGCTGGCCCGCCCACAGCAGCTGCACGAACTGACGGTCCTCCTCAGTGAGTACAATCTGATGGAAAGCTGCACGAATGTCCGTCTGACAACCCACAGCTCCTGAACGGAAGTTCAGTAGCACAGCTGGTAAACGATGCAGCAGGTTCTCTCCCGGCTCAAGGTAGGAGTTCAGGCTCATACCTGCACCGTCTGGCGCTGATCCATCGAACACCACTCGCAGTTTGCCGTTGCGGTGCAGTCCTCGGTGCGGTAAGATGAACTCTGATGGCGGACTCGGCAGCGCGGGCTCGATGACAGCGTCTTCCAGCAGCTGATGCAGGTGGTCATCGTACTCCTGGAACTGTTCAACATTCAACTTCTCTGTCATACGGTGAGTCCGGGTCTTCGATAACATCAGGTTAGACACTGGGCGCTGGTCGGACTTCCATACTAGCCCCATCTCATACCTGTTCTCGGTGGCGTTCCAAGTCGGTACAGGTGGGTCTCTCTCGGCGGTCTCCTCTGCGGCGACTCCCACAGCGTCCAGCGTCCACATTCGCTCGACGTCAACCAGCTGACAGCGGTAGGCGTGCCGCTGCCGGGTCGTCTGCTGGCCTGGGGACTGTCCGTGGAGCACATACCCAAACACAGTCTCCACCAGACGGAGGCCAGGATTCACCTCCACCTGGTTCCACAACACCACCTTGTACAGCTGATCACACCCAATTAGAGCATCAACAGGTCCGTCACGGAAGTCATCAGCAAGCTCTACACTTGGGGGCAGAGACTGAATGGGTGGTGGAGCTCCCACGGGCGCACACAGCTTATCAGTTCTCCAGAACACAAGCTCGGCCTCACCTTTCTGGTATCCAGTGAGCCGCGCGCTTACTTGGTCGTACTGGTGAGCCTCCTCAACTCTCTCCTTGAATCCGACGCACGCGAAGGTCCCCTGGCCGACCTTCTCGAGTCCCAGCTGGTCAGCCAGTGAAGCCCGGATGAAGGAGGCGTCTGCCCCGCCGTCAATCAGCGCGCGTACTAGACGCACGCCCCGAGGACCAGCCACCTCCACGAGCGCTGTCTGCACGTAGCAGTGCTGCTGGCTCCGCACGCCCATGCACATCCGTCCCTGGTTGGCAGAAAAAGTACCAGCAGCAGCGGGGGGCGGCAATGGTCTGCGATCAGGCATGCGACTCTCAGACACAGCAGCAGCGGCAGGGGGTGACAGAGGTCCGCGATCAGGTACACATCTCTCAGTAGGCATGAGGGCTGCATGCTCTCCTGGCGGTGGGTGCAATGACGAGTGGTGCGGGCCACCACACCATGGGCATCGGGTGCTGTGGCAAGCACGCAGCAGATGGGGACCAAGACACTGGTAGCAGAGCTTAGCTTGGCGCACAACATCCCAGCGAACGGGCACAGTCATGGTGCGGTAGGCCGAACACGCAGTCAGGCCATGCTTACCCGTTCCGCATGCCAGACATACCCAGTCAGGTCCCTTCTTCTGCCTCACATTCAGCATGCTGACTGTCGGCTTCCCAGGTACTGCGGTAGGTGGCTGCTCACTGGTGGTCCTCTTCCTCCGAGCAGCTGCCTCCTCCCTGATGCTCATCTCCTTCTGCAGGAACTTCAGGAAGACTGTGAGTTCATCAGATGAGTCAGCACTGCATCTCAGCCATTCAATCTTCCATGACTCAGGGATGCACGACAATAGCACAGGCATCAGCAGGACAGCATATGAGTCAGGCAACACGTTCATCGTCTCCAGCGCCCTGACCTCAGAAACCAGCCCATCAATCATGCGGCGCATGCGGACCAAGTCATTGTCATTGTGCACAGGGGTGGTGGACAACAATCTCTGCATCAGCACCTTAATGCACAAATCTGGGCGATCAAACCTTTCCTTCAGGGTCTCCACAGCCTTCAAGTAGCCCTGGTCAGTGATGGGAAGACCCTGCACAGTCACCTCTGCCTGATCGACGAGGTGCGCCTTCAAGTGCACCAGCTTTTCGACAGGTGCATAAGCAGGGTTGTCATGGACAGATACACAGAACAGGCTCCAGAACTCTGACCACTTTTCCACATCCCCACAGAACTTGGGCAGCTTCAGGTCCAGCTTTCCCCCCAGGTAAGGCGGCACACACTGAGCCCTTCCAACAGAGACCTCAGAGCTCCTTTCCAGACGAGCAAGCACACGCTTAGCTTTGAAAATCTGATCCTGCATATCCTGAATATGCGAGGTATCATCAGGCACAGACAGCTTTGTCAGGCTCACCTGGATCTCGGTCATCAGATCAACGTGCTGCTCAAGGTGGTGTATTGCCAAGGCAAGGTCGTCCTCTTGAGAATTATCACATTCGGCAAGCTCTTTCATCAGTCTGGTTGCCTTACCTCGAGCCACAGTCCTTTTCTGTTTAAGCTGTGCCTCACTCTCCATCTTGATATACACAATTCACAAGTCAATCTCAGTCTTGATCAGTCAAAATCAATCAGCAAATCATCAAAGAAGCAAATTTAACAGAAATCAAAAAGTCATCCGGCCCGGAGGACTATGTTGAAAATCAAAATGAAATAAATAGGGCCGGCTCTCTGGTTTGACTTAAAAAAACTTGAATATATGAGCACTTCAATTATATTGGTGGCGGTGGCGGCAGCAGATGGCACACTGGCGGTACACAACCTCACACGGCGGCGGCGGCGACAGAACTCCGAACGAAATACGACAACAAAGCGAAATCGGCGCGGTTAGGAAAAATATTCGTGACGGATGCAGGGGTTACCAAATGGGCTGCCATGGGTAAAATAAAATGACGAGGCGTAAAGGAAAGGTAGGATACAACACAGTAACGATGGAAAACATATACGGTACGGTAACATGAGGAGAAAAAAGGTCACAGGGCAGTAACGAATAGCGACACGCCGGCCGGGTTGTTTCTCTTCGCTTACGGCGACATCTTTTCATGGCCATGGTCCTTTTGCGCTTTTATATTACATATTCATTTCTTATTTCTGAACTCCCTTTTACGTTACTTATTACATTCAATCTCTCTAACACTTGTCCCATGCGGTGTCTGTTTGCGTTTCCCCCATCGGCAGCGCGCACTGCGCCCCGTCCTGTGGCCCCTCCCGCGGTGCCACGCCGTTCTCAGCACCTGCCGCCGTTCTCATGGCGACACGAGCGCAACCCCACCGGCAAATGGACACTTATGCCGAGACTGAGCGCCGTAAATTCCAGCGCCTTGCTGCGTGCATCGCCGAGCTGCGTCCGACTCATTGTAGCGCAGGAGCGTCGGCTCGGGTGGGCGTTTGTTGAATGCTGCCCGGGTCGCCGCTCGGGTCAGGTCGATGGTCAGGTCATTGGTCACGGGTCTGCTGGTCACGCGGCCAGTCATGTGTCATCCCGTGTCGTCACCGGTGTGTGGGTGGTCTGACAGTGTCGTGGGCCACGACTCGAGTCACGGCCGGTCACGGTCGCTCGTGTGGGGATGTGAGGGGGAGGGTAGGAACGTCACTGCTCGCCATGGCCGGGGTCGGGGTTCCTCCCACGATTGGGCCATCCCGGCAGTGCACCACTTTCTCCACTGGCCTCTGGGGGACGCAATGCTGGCTGGGTGGGATGGTGAAGGATACCGATATCCCCTAGGGGAGCGATGCTCCAAACGGCACAATTTAACGTCGGAGACGTCGGGCCGTCGTGGTGCTCTCGGAATATCCTCGCAAGAATCTCTGCAAATCCACGCCGGAAAGCTGCACTGATCTTCATCGGAAGTGCTGCATTTAGTGTTTGCGTCGTCGATGATGGGGACGGCGGCGGGGACGGTGGTGGGGCTGTCCCACTATCGCGGCGTCGTGGCCACGCCGCGGCGGTGTGCTCGTCGCATATCAGGGGCGGATTGATCGCCTCCCATGTGCGGCTTCTGCGCCTGTCGGGCGGCCAGACAGGCCGGCGGCGGCTGTGACAGCTCGCCGGGCCGCAGAGTGAATGTGGGCCCAGAAATGGCGCCGCCGACCAGGGAAATCCTGCGACCAGATGGCTCGCTGACGGGGCATATCGAGGCGCCTAATGCAGTGCCCACCGACTGTCGGCAGTCGGACCGAGTTTATATGATGATGCGGCCTTAAAATGAACGGCTGTTGAATTATCGACGGCGGTGAGCGTTTGGTCGGGGGATAGCCCGGGCCTCCCCGGTCAGGTGGTATCTCAGAGGGTGATGTTATAAGACTCAGTCATGCAGTGTGCCCCTGCAGTGGCTCCCCTTGCACATACCGCAAGACTGGTGATAAGCCGATCTCCACCTACACTGGACAGTCCATGCAACCTCCTTTTAGCCGTCCGCCGCTTGTCCGCTGTGGACGAGTGTATGGTCTCCTGCTGGTCTTTGGTCTCTCTCTGCTCACTCTGGTCTCTCCGGTCTGCCGCGCTGGCCGTGTCCGAGCGGGGTCAATATTCGCGCCACTAATTGGCGGTGCGCGGAATGGCGACCGGTATAAAACGCGTGCCATTACCGCGGTCGATCCGCTTCATTAGCGAACCTGGCGCTCCGAGCAGAGGGCCGCCCTGGGAAAGGATCGAGCTAGCCGGCCGTATCAGATTCCCAGACCGCTCCCAGATGCGCCTGTGTACACATCAGGCGATTTATGTTATCTGGTTGGTGCTAACCGGGTTCCCGTGAGCGCTATTGGTGCGCTATAGTCAAGACGAGGACGACTGTGTGGTGACGGGACGCCGGATGCGCTCCTGTGTCACCTAAGAACGGTTTCCGCTCAGTGTGGTAGCTGTTTGGTGGATATGACCTCTGTGGTATTCGGGGCTCCCAGGTGGAGGCGAGCCTCCCCGACAGGCGGCATTGTTCGTCGAACAAAGCCACACGCTGCGACCGCCGCGGACGCGTCGTCCTTCCGTGTCCAATGGTGGTGGCTTGTTAGGGAGGGTGTCATAACCGTCGCTCCGTCCCGCCCACTCGGGCTGCGGGTAGTGGATCTACTGCAGTTCGTGGATAAGATACAGGCAGCAGTAGAGCTGCCATGCACACGAGCTGTTGGTGAATGAAATCCTGATATACTTTCGCACTACCGCAGCCCTTCTAGTTATGACAGTTGTAGGTCGCGTGCAGTTCTGCTCTGCTTGTCTCTGCTCTGTTCGACCGTAGATGATAACTATCATCGGCCATAACATGCCGTTCTCCGCGCCTCACCCGGCCTGCTCTCCAACATGTGATTCAGCACGCCCGCGACGCGCATTCTCAGCCGGAGTTTTTGCGACGTTAATTCCCGCGCCTCATTCGCCGCGGAGCGTCGCCCGGAGACGAATCCGCCGCACGCTCCGCGCCGCCAACCGTCGCCCCGCGGCCCCAGGGCCGGTTTTTACCTGGGCGGCGTCCGGTGGACTGATTCGGGCCCCAACGTGTGCTGGTGGGGGGACCAGGACTCACGGGGACGACGGTGATCGTTGTTATCAGGCCTTGACCACGCGGCGGGTAGTGCGCGGTAGGGTGCCTTATCGGGCTCGTAGTGAACTTGTGTCCACCTTCTCAGTGGCTTCCGATTAGATAGGTACCCTTCCTGGTATTGCAATGTGAGTGACTCAGACATCTTGTGTCTACTGTTCGCCTACAGTGTCCATTGAAAGAAATGTGTCTAATGGACACTGTCAACGTCACATTTCTATCCGTTGTGTGCCTTTTCTCTCCATGCCCTCTTAATCTGCTGTGCTTGCTGTGCTGTGTTGTATTGTGCTGTACTGTACTGTGCTGTGCTACTGCTGTGTTATGCTGTGTTGTAAAAGCCCAGCCCCTCTTTGAGCCTCTCCATACCTCCCGTTCATTGCCACCGACATAGCCCTGCCTCTCTGTCTGTGAAGGGTCGGCGCGAATGCTTTGGACACCTCCCGTGCAGTGTTCACACTGCCCGTTGCACGCTGCATGCAATGCGGCGATTGGCGCGCTGCAGCGAAGGCCGCCGCCGCGTTGTTGGGGCGTTGCGTAGTGGGCCACTGCTGATGAGACAGCGCATACCGATTAATCCACATACCATTGTGCGCGCATAACGGACAATGCGCGTTGCGTATGCAGGCTGATGAAGGTTGGAGGCGACTCGTTACTCATCGTCACAATTGGCTAAACGGCGGAACCTCATCAAGGCGGCTGAGTCAGCGGAAAGTTATGACTTGCTGAGTTTGGGGAGGGGGTGCCGGGGACCGAAGCCAGCCCACCGGGTGACTGAAGGGAATGTATGCATGAATTCTCAGACGGCAGGTCTCCAGGAACGTGTCATGTATTCGCTCTGGCATCCTCAGGTCTCCGTCTCGCCTCTATTGTTCTATCCGCCGTTTGGAAACTGTTTCGACGTTGTCACTGTCAACACATGAGCTCAGCCAAA